GTGGCAGAAAATTATGAAACAGTGAGTTTGAACCAGATAGTTCAGAGAACAGATCTGAGCATTTTTCCTAACAGGAGTCGGATGACTTAGTGAGAGATCTTGGACTTCTGAAAAATGCAGCTCAGTCACTTGGCTTCTGGCTTAAAAAAAAAAAAAACGGAACAAAAATTACAACCAGGCACTTCTTTTTCATGGTCTTGACATTGCAAAGCACTTTTTGTTCCTTACGTTTCACGGGATATTTATTATTTATTGTAATGACATTAGTGATGGGTCAGTTTGGTGTACAATATGACCCAAATCATTGGTGTGTATTCATAGACTCATTGAAACAAAGTCTAAAAGTTTTGTTACCCAGTGGAAATACTCATACTTCAGTTCCAGTTGGCCGTTCGGTACATTTAAAGGAAACATATGACAATTTCATTTCAGTTCTGAAACAAATTAGTTATAATGAGCATAAGTGGTTGATTTGTGGAGGCTTGAATGTCTTCACCATGCTCTTAGGTTAGTAATCAGGATACACAAAGTTTCCTTGTTTTTTATATTTATTGGAGAGCTGTGACAGAAATTCTCACTAGAACAAAATAGACTGACCATCTCAAAAAGCTCTGTTGCTAGGCAAAAAAAAAAAAAAAAATGTAATTAGGAAAAGTTAGGTTTCTTCTGAGGAAATCCTATTACCTCCTCTACCCATAAAGATAGGGCTGATAAAGCAATCTATTAAGTCTCTCAATAAAGAAGGTGAATGTTTCAAGTACTTATGCTTCAAATTTCCTGCTGTAAGTGACATTAAGATAAAGGAAGGAATCATTGTAGACCCAGACATTAGTTGCTGTCCATATATTACATAAAGCAAATTTGGAGTATTTTGGATACCCCCTGCACAGTGAAGCATCCATTACACACTCTTGAACCCCTCTAAATATTAATGTAACCTTCCCCGATTACAAAAATAAATAAAATCACAGAAATAACAATTTGAATTAATTTTATTTGTGTTCTATTTTAAAATTATTGATAATTTATATTTTTAATTATTTATAATTATTCATAATTAAAATTATTAATAATTAAATTGATGATTAATATATTTTAAAATTAGAATAAATTGGGTAGGCTGACTGTATGTAACAATAACATGGAGAACAAGTGCTATGTGAAGGAAGGATACATAGACATGAACATTTCTTATAAGCCGTGTACATGTCGTGAATGACACGAGTGACAATCTACTGCACCAATTTAATAGGATTCTAAAATATACAATAGATCAATTTTGAATTTTTTCCCCGATCTTACAGATTCTGTAAAAACATGAAAAAATACTTTCATTTATTGTAACAAATTACACAATAACTTTAAATTATTTATGATTTTTAAAAAGTAATTAATATACGTTACATGTTAATGTTTTTTTATAAAGAAGAAACAAGTTTAATTTTTTCACCAGATGTCGAATTAAAAATAACTTAATGTTACGTAACTAAACTAGCACCCCCTATCCCGAAGGAACGCAGCGTAACTCTGCCTCAAACCTCCTCCCACACTCGTCAGCGTTACGTCATTTTTGGCCCCTTAGATCCACGTCTTGCTCATTCCATGGATGAGGAGAGCAGTCAGGAATTCTTTTATTGACGTTGTTGACAAGTTCCTTGATTACGTAAAGGATCCTAACTGGAACGCATATTGAATGTTTTTCAAATACGACGTTGCCACATGAGTTTGAAGGTTCACTTCATACACTCGCAAGTGGAATATTTTCTGGGAAAACTTTGGGAACGTCAGTGAAGAACAAGAGCAAAGGTTCCATGAGGACATGAAGGGAATGAAACGTAGTATCAGTGTAAGTGGAACGTGAACATGATGGCGGACTATTGCTGGATGCTACAGCGTACATCACCTGAAGTGTCATTTACCCGAAAGCGCACGTGAAGAAGATTCCAAGAGAAAATAACTTTTCAGAAACATGACTATTAAGTATGCAAGCTTATACCGGTACGGAATAAAGTATTTGGTATTTTTAATAACATGCAAATAAATAAAAACTGTCAGCCTATTTTGTTTTCCTATGTCGTTATACTGTCTTTCGAAATTGAAAAACATCTGTACGTGATAGCGAAAAACTGATTTGACTTTCAGTTTCAGCACACCAAAAAGCAAAGAGTATATGATATTATCAAATCTAATTTCGAAAAGTTTTCTTTTGAAAGACGTGTGCTTTTTGCGTTTTGCAGTTTTTTATGTGACCGTTTAGGAGGGGTGTTAACTCTTTTTCGACCTTCAAATGTGAAAAGGTTAACATCCATTTCTAATTGCTTCTTTAAAAATAGAAAGGAAGATAATATTTTTACAATATTTGGTGCATCCAATATTAAACGATATTACTCCTACCGCTACTGGCAAAAGAAGATCTTAACAAAATATGCGCATAATGCACCTCGTGAAACTCCAAAGAATATGTCGCCTTGGACCTCGATTCTGGCCCACAGATTACACCAGGCGTGCTGTATTCTACATTTGCAAATTCGCATGTTACTAAAGAGAACAGCGAATAATGTTCCTGTCTGCAACTTACAAACCTATTGGTCTATATTGACTTCCAAAACACCCAAATACCTGGAAATATACAAGCTGTTTCTTACCAATGCCGATGACATGCATCTGTGACGACAGCCAGAATTAACATTATTACAAAAGCAAAAGTTCCCATCACAGAGTCAAGTGTCTTGGAGAAATCGGCACGTATTTCTTTTGTTTTTTATCTGACAATCAATTCCATTCGGAAACTAAACAGTCAAGATTCGAATGACCGGAAAGAAATAATGGCAAATATTTTGTGGATGAAACTGCCTTGAAGAGGTTAGTTATTATTTACATTTGGAACACACGAGACTGAAGGAACATCGTACGATTACATCGTCGTTATAAAAAGCACTTTTTAATGCTTTTGCTCCTTTACTGAAAGAAAGAAAAAAAAATACTCACCATTGTTTCATAATTTTAATTTACTGCATACTACACGCATGTTTAGTATTGAGAAACTTATGTAATGCTGCAGCTGAAAACAGCTGTTTTTCGCCAGAAAAAATCGATTTGTAGGTCACAGATAACAAAATTGTTCATAATTCTTGTTTCTAGATGTAATAAATTACTTACGCTTACAAATGGGATCTCAAGGGAGAGCGGTTAGGACGCATATAAACGATTTTAGATTTAGATTTATTTAGTCAAAAAACAATTAGAAACTGTAAGTGACGTATGGGGAAGAAGATAAGAAAATTATCCGAAATGGAATTCTAAATTGAATGGATTCGATTGGAAATGTCTTTTTTGACTTCGTGCGTTCAGGCTGATTCCAGCGCCCCTGAACAGAAGGTCTACGCAACCCGCCGCACCCTAAGTATTCAGCGCGTCTTCTCTGCATATTCTGCCCCTTCGATTGAGAAATATCGGCCGGAATGATTTTTTTAACGATATATCGGCCACGTAAAACAAATTTCTCCAAGACACTGTCATAGCGAATGCATGCCCAAACATGAAGGACGTTTTAACAATAGGGCACTTGATAACCATGTAACGATACACCAAACAATAACCCTGTAACGATATCTCATGAAACTACCTTCCTCGGACTAACAATTCAAGAAAAACTAAAATGGAACACTCACATCTCAAATCTTAACAAGAAGCTCAGCAAATCTTGCTATGCCCTAACACCCTCAGGTCAAGCTCCAACATTGAGACACTTCGAACTATGTATTTTGCAAATGTGCACTCACACCTAAAATATGGAATAATATTCTTGGGAAATCCCCTGAAAGCACTCGCACATAATTATCCAAAAAAGAATACTGCGAACAATGACCAGCACTCATAAGCTGGAGTCTTGCAAGCCCTTGTTTAATAAACTAAGGATTCTTCCCTACCATGCATGTACATATTTGAAATAGTGGTCTTCACAAAGAAAATTCTCATGGAAAACAAAGACACTTTTACTTTAAATTCTGATGTACATAACTACAAACACCTGTCAAAAGGATAACCTACAACGTTCCCCACTCTGAAACTACACTTTATCAAAAAAGTACCCTAATAGAGGGCATTACACTTTACAACAAACTAGGCAATGATATCAAAGACATAAACACAATTCATACATAAAAGTAAATTGAAAGCTTTCCTGCTACTTAACAACATGTTCTACAGTGTAAAGGAATTTTCAAATTACAACATTTCCCTTAAAAAATATAAATAAATAAGAATTTCTTATTCCTTTAGACTTTCTGTTTCATGTGGGCTGTTTCAAGCTGAAGCAAAGAAAAAAGAGCTGCCATATCACATCCTGTGAAATAGAAGAAGAAAAAAACTGCGTCAAAACTTGCCTCCTCACCATTTCAAGTATAAATATAGAATGTACTATTATTGTTAAATTTGATGTAGTTGCAAACATAATTGATATGTATTATAATGTAATTATTATAACTAATGTAATTATTATAATTAATGTAATTATTATTATTGATGTAATTATTAATGTAATTATTATTATTAAGTAGTAGCATTAAAATATTATTGAAATGTTAATTATTAGCAGATAATTTATCTACTGATTAATATCTTAATCTAACTGTAAACAAGTATTGTATTCCAGGCCAATGACCCCATCTTGATCAGGTTTTGTTCAGTTTGCCTGATCCTTTGAGCAAATGCTGAGATGGCCTCTTGTTTGCTCCTGAACAGTAATATAAACTTCGCTCTCTCCACCCAAGGCATCATATTGACTCGTCATACACGATTGTAATTGTATATATGTGACTCAATAAATATTATTATTATTATTATTATTATTATTATTATTATTATTAATATCATGTCCCAACCAGGACACAGAACAAACCCATACTCGCCAGAAAGTTTTTTTTTATCTATTAACATTTTTGCAGAGGTAACGTAAAAGGTTCCATTAAAAAAACTTTCGATCTCTCTTGAAGTATTTACCTGGAAGTAAGATAAAATCAAGGAAGAAAGAGGAGTGTGGGTGTTGGTTTTCACTTACCTAAAATTTTTGTTTGAACATTTTAAAACAAAACATTTCGTGTAAGGAAATAACCATATATTTTTATTCTTAAAAGAGATTTACACCGCCATTTTTACCAGTTTTGCGATGCTCATACGCCGGGCAACGGGAGAGGATTCTGAATGTAGATGATGTTTGATGTAAAAAATTCCCATACAAACGCTTGTCAGTATATAACAACTAATATCATAGCCAAACGAACGTAATCTTTGCGAATTTGAAACCTTTAATTTTGAAGACATGTAGGCTTTCATAGCAGGCGTCAATGAAATTTGAATATTGTATTTTGGGCTGATACGTCGTGACCCAATTTTCACTGAATCACGACCTATCAGACTGGAAGACAATGCCCCAAATTCTTTCATTGTCGTTAGTTATTAAGTTAATTGTTCAGTAAAAACTTCATCTACGGTTATGCAAAATAAATGAGTTACTTCCCGACCCGATGCGTGACGTTGTATGCATCGACATTCCGCTTCACTGAGATGACCGTCACATCTGCGCGGCATCGCCGTCCTCTGGTTCTTCGTAAAGATTCATCTCGCATACAAAGACCTCGACGAAGCCGCAGGGCTCGTCGTACAACATCTTGGTGAGCGTCTGGAAGAAGATGCAGTCGCCGCTCTTGTCTGGCTCGCCCGGACCCCAACGCACGTAGTTTAGCTCTTCGATGGGCTCGTCTGGAACAGAAGCATATCAACATTTTGTCTTGACACTTTGAATGGTTGGTTTTTAAATGCCAGCGGAACTTTTAGGAACCATGGATCCGTTAAAAATGTACCATGTATTAGACAATGAGGGCAGTTTACATCGTCCATGAAGCCTATAGCTAAATAACTTAAACTCACTCTCTCTCTCTCTCTCTCCATATATATAATAATATAATAAAATATATATATATATATATATATATATATACATATACAGAGAGAGAGAGAGAGAGAGAGAGAGAGAGAGAGATACCATATACCATATATAGAGAGATCCCGTTGTTTTCCCCACACACCACACTATAATATATGGTATAGGTCGCAAAATAGCGGCCGAAACGTTGGCACCTGTGCTTAGGACGTGACGTCTCCCGGACAGCCAAGTATTTACTGACTCTGACCGCGAAAGCCTACACCCTCTCTTAAGTAACTTATATTTACCTTTTTTACTTACACGAATTATTTTGGGTGCAGGAAAGTCTTAGCTTCAACAAAGGTGTTTCGTATAGCAATTAATATTGAAGATGTTAAATAAATTTCGTAACAATAGCAACAGAGAACTTATGAACCTCTGGGAATGTTATTGAAAATATGTATAATTTATTTCATATTTATAGAAGAGGAGGCTATTATTAATAACTGAGTGCAGTTGGCAACCTGCCAAATGATTTATTGATCTTTTAGGGCACGTTAACTGCTATGGTCATGAGTTCTGTTAGTGTTCTGGATGTTTTATCGCGACTTCTTGGCTGTCTGGGTAACGCCGCGTCGTTGGCTGAGAGGCCAATTATGATTGGCTGAGTGGCCTCTGCCAACGACGCGGCGACACCCGGAGAGCCAAGAAGTCATGAACTCGAGCCGGGCAATCTTACGTGTACGCAATCTTACAATGTTTAATCGCATGAGGTGGCGGTGTTTTCCCTTGTCGGATGGTGATACCCGACGCCGATCTTCACGTCAACTTGCGGGTGATTCGAACCTTTAGGTATCTCCCCGCTAGTGGGTCACCAACAAGGAGCTCTAAGCTTGCGACTGGTCTCCCGACTTGTGTGGTAGTGTACTGCATGAAAGGCCAAAGTTTAAGTGTGTGGGTATGGGGAGAGAAAGGAAAAGTTGAGAGAGAACCAAAGTGTATGTTAGGGTAATACTCCATCATTCATGTGACATTGACCGGAGAACTGAAAAGTACCGATCACAGCAGCCAGCCACTCGAAATCTACTGCAGTACCAGTTAAATTCGACTTAGCTGTGCAGCTAATGTCGCAAGTCCGCTAACGTCGGGACCCGAAGCCTAGGATCTTCTGGTGAGCCTCTGAGTAAGGTGGTTCAGGAAATCCACTGATGACAATGCAATTCCCCTAACTGGGATATCCTAGGTTCAAGTCCCGACGGTGGCAGGCTTTTCGACACAAGCTTGTCGGGTAGGTCGGACTCAGTCGCGTCTGGACGAGAATTTCGGCGGCCGGATGTTCTGATCGGTAGTTTTCCGTGGTTTCTCCGATCAACATCAGATGAATACCGGAGCAGTACCCTAACAAACAGGCCACGGACCGCGCGCGATCATTCCTCTCTCTTCCTTGTCCTATACTCACCTCTTACACTAACACGCACTACACTACCACACTTGCCGGTAGACCGGTAGGGAGCTTAAGCTTGCCCCTTCCTGTGGCGGTGCCCCGCTGTTGGGAGATACCTGGTTGAGGAAAACCCCGCTAGCCGACGGTAGATCGGTGTCAGATGGGAAGGGTGGGGAGAAGATCACAGCCATTTACCAAGGATAAACATGCAGTACACTTACGGGACTAATGACCTTAGTAGTTGACGCGCCCGGAATCTAACAATTAATTAATCAACCGGATGAGACAGGCTCTGAGCTAGCTCATGCGACCCGCGGCAAACGTCACTCACCGTTGACCGTCATGTAGCGTCCGCGCTCCTTGTCGTAGAAGAGTCCCACCCACGGGTGCTTGGAGCTGAGCTTGGCGAGCGCGTTGTACTCCTCCTCGCTGCCCGGCACGGCCAAGTGGCCGCCCTCCGCCTCGCACGCGGCGCGCGCGTCCGACCACATCAGCCAATCGTCGTGGTAGCGGTAGGCGCTGCCCAGGCGCGGGATGGTGACGTAGCCCTCGGGCAGCGCGTCGCCGCCGCCGTCGCCGCCGCTGCCCTCGTCGTCCGTCGCGTTGCCCGACGCCGGACGTCGTACCACCACCGGCGGCGGCGCGCTCACTGCGCAGCGGACACGCGCGCGCGCAGTCAGGGCCTGCCAGGGAAGGCGCTCGGGAACAGGCCTGGAACTGGACTCAGGCCTCCCCGGCCAGGCGCTTGCGGGCTGGCTCAGGGCGCGCTACGCGACGGGATTGGGGTCGAACTTGCGGTTGGGCTATTGGTCGAGCAAGGCTTTGGGTTCAGCGTCGGACTCAAGATCAACCAGGCGAGATATTCGGGGCCTACCTTCGAATGGGGCTTGGGATCTGGCTTGCAATCGAGCCAGGAGTTGGACTTGGGATTGGACTTGCGCTTGGGCTTGGGGTTGGGCTCTGGATCGGGCTGGCGAGAGTCTTTGGATCTGTCCTCTAATCGGGCTGGCCTTTGGACATACGATTGCTCTTAGGTCGGGATCCGGGTCTCGTGGCCGGGCTCTGGCAACCTTGATATCCGTCGGGCGTGAGACCACACTTGCAATTAGTCTTAAAGTCGGGCTCAGGATCAAACGTGGGGACGCGGGCGGGATCATAATCGGGCCGTCATGGCCTGGAGTCTGGTGTGGGGATAGCATTAGGATTGGCTTGAATTTGGTCTTTCTATTGGGTTCAAGGTCGGGGTTGCGCTGTGGCTCGGGTTCGGGATATGTGTCCGATGGGATTCGTGTGGGTTCTGCCTCACACTTATGGAAATTGGGTCCGAGCTCAGAATCCGACAGCTTTGAGCTCGGGCGCAGTCTCGGATTCTGTATCAGGACCAGACCTGGGTTTGGATTCAGGTTCAGTTAGCTAATTACGAAAATCACTTTATTATTACAAGGTTCACGCCGATTCCAAGTGAAACCTCCCTCGGAGTTTCTTAAATTTTCACCTCTGCTAAAATACTTTTGTTACGTCGACGAATGCCAAAATGATGCAATATATAATAATAACAATAATAATAATAATCATTACAATAATTATTATTATTAATAATACTAATACGAATAATAATAACAATTAAATATTATTATTATTATTATTATTATTATTATTATTATTATTATTATTATTATATCTTCACTGTTGTATAGTTTCTGAAGTGTAGTCCGTTTTAAAGTTGTACTGAAATGTTTGTTCTAGATCACCATCTTCCTCTTTTTCCAATTATTTTGCAGTCTGAAATGGTACTTAAGAATTGTGTGTCTAAAAATGTATCCAAGGAATGTTAACATATTGTAATGCATTTTGTTTCAACTGGGTTTTTACAGTGAAATGTAAAGCTGTGACAAGAAATTTTGTTTCCAAGAATGAGTATTATCGGGAATTTGCTTTCTGACAAAAACATTGAAGTAATCTTGTTTCGAAAAACGATGGCGATTTAATCATGAACAAAAGTGGTTTAGTAATGTTCATTTTATTAAAATTTTATTCCGTAAACTGGATAAAATCTGCCAAGTGGCATCTTTAGAAAGTGGTATTTTTACTAAGTTTTCAGATTCTTTGTTATCTCATAATCAGTTCCTAACTATTTTGCAATCTCTGTGTTGTTTCTCGTACGTAAATGTGTCGTTTCTGCCTCTCGTGTTATGTTTATAAATAAGTTATGCTGAATAACTTTATTGAACTATTTTTTACTTGAAATCACACTGGAAGTTGTAAACATCAGATTGTTGGGAGACTCTTTTTAATAAACAACCATTACATTCATAAATAATTAACAAAAGAGTCGTTAAAAGCATTATTTTAAAAGTTGTTAGAATCTCATTCTTTACTGTGCCCCCGTTGACAAAATTCCTTATTCTGCGATCGCATCGATTCGACGCAACGGGGTCGCGGAACGAAAACGAAGGACGACTGACGGTAACACGGGAAATAGTTTTGCCGTTTTAACATGCATGGTTGAACTTTATGTTTAATATCTTCAGAATTGGCGCTTATAATTTGGTGCGATTATGCGAAGTTTGTTGTAGTCAACAGCCACTCAAAAGTTCTTCAATGACACAGTATTGTAAACCCATCCACTCAAAGGAATAAAATGTGAGAATATCCATGCGCTGAATATTGGAATGAAAAGAATTTGTAAAGGTAAGCGATTTACAAAAGGCATACAAAATCTTTTCGAATTATTTTAGAAGAAATATCTCAATACTTTCTCGATAGCTTCATTGCAAGTCAATTTCACATTAAATTCTTTGAATTCGCTTTTCATTTCGTTATTTTCCCATAGCAAACTATATGACAACGATGTATTTCGACATAAAATGCACTGCACAGACACGATCATGTAGACTGAATGCAGGAGATTCGCCACGTTGGCAAAGCACCAATACTGATTGAACTCTGCGAATTATAGTTAATGCATGGAATTCAGTAATCATTAACTGCTATCTAAAATGTTCCAAGGTTAACAGTTATAAGACGCCATTTCGTTTGCGGGTACGCAATGTCGTTTTCCATACTCTCGCAGTAGTGAGTCGATTCCTACACGTGAGGCACAAAAAGGAATAAGACCTATTATTAAATCTATGCTCTCTCAGTGTTATATTTCATTTACTCATCGTAACGTATGTAATTCATAACTTTTAAAATTTAATTTAATTTTTAAGGAATTTATATCTCTTGCATTTTCAGGGTTCCTTGATTTAAACTTGTTAGGTATACGCAGATGACATATTTTTATAATGATTTTGTATAGATGTATACTTGACAGTCATTAGAGAAAGAATAGTAACTTACAATTAGTTTTATTATCCTCCCCGATTCCCTTTTCAAGAAATCTGCGAATTGCTGATGAAAATGTTCTTAGTTATGTTGTTGTTGACTAGATGTCGCAGTGCGCGCTGTACAATTTGATGCTTCCGTGTTTCATTCCGTCGAGGGAAGGGAGAGGGGTTAGTGCTACGTGGCTTGTGTGCTAGTGATGTGATTGAAGGCCTGAAGCGAGGGAGAAGCGAAGAAGAGGAGAAAAACAAGATGGAGGAGCGTAGGTGAGTTTTTGTTATGCACGTATCGTACATGCATACTCCCTCAAAATTCAGTAAATTTCAAAAGTTTATTTTTATAAGGGTTTTTTCAGCCAGTTTTGTAGTAATAGTTAATGTCACGAAATATGACTACAATTTTTAGGTGAATTTATCCAGAATTATTTTCTAAGTCAAGTTTTTATTTGAATTTAGTCTTACTCGATCTATTTCAATACTGTTCAGAGAAAAGCAAAAACGAATTCTTGAGAGAAGTAAATTACTTCTTACCCAACGAAAACAAATAATGATTTTCGCTATTTTTGAATTGTGATGCTGCATAAAATTTATATCACAAATGGACTTATAAAGGAGTCATTGAGTAATTAGTTCAAAAATATCTAGAATATAATAGAGTATAAACTTCGCGCGTTTTCTTGAGTTCTAGAACGTAGTTCTCAATCGTAGTCTTTTACGATTCATAGCTGAATGGTAAATAAGTATACCAACAAAGCATGGTTAGAAACTCCAAAACTAGAAACGCTTCAGAGCAATAAAACACTTATTTCACTAGCAAACGAATTATGGATTTGATTTTATAGCATTGCTAACAAAATAACAACCCACCACATGACCCTGATCTTATCACAAGTAGCAAAAGGAGAGGTCAATAAAACGTGCGCACAGTGAAGCTACATTTGAGTCTTATCCCTTATCGTAACGAGTCGGCTCCGACATCGCGAGATCGATGTACAAAAGCGAAGAACGAGTGTCGGGCAGGAGGCGTTTTGATTACGTAGTTCGAATGACACTGGTCATTGCACGGGCTCAAGGATGATTTATATTACTCGCGTAGGCCGAAGCCAGGATCCACGTCACCCAACTTCGATGTACAGTGCGAAGCGTCAAAATGTCAAGTTAAAGGTGTTCAGCAAAAACGTATTTTGGCATAAAATGCATTGGCAATGGTGTGTTGGACAGAATGCTACGGAATGCTGTAATTTAATCACTTAAGCCGAAGACCGGAGCCTTGCCGTGCCGCGCCGTGCCGTTGGACAGGCATAGCGAAGCGTTACTTCGTCCTTGAAGTGTGATGTTTTATACACGCCATTCCGCTCGCAATGGCGTGGCGCGTTGTTGTCATTGGTCATGTACTCGCGAAACTGAATCGATTCTGTCTTGTTAGTTACGACAAGGGATAAAAACCCTATAGTTACGTTCAGAAGCAAAACAAGGGGCATTCTCAGCATTTGCACTGTGGATGAAGGAAAAATGAACGAAAAATCTGTTCAAGACGGGTGTCATTGATCTACAAGTTGATCAAAGATTGGTTAAAGGCACATTTCGTCTTTTTGAATTAATCAGTACAAATTATATTAAATTCGTTTACATCAGTGTTAAAATAAATATTATTTTCGTTTTTAATATAATAGTCTCTAATTGTTTAGAAACAATTTAGGCATTTAAAGTTGTGTATTGATTTGGCCATCTGGCAATGAATTGTAAAGATGATGTGACAAGGTCGCTGGCAAGGTAACTAGTGTACTAGGGTTCGTGGACATTGCATCTAAGGCAACTGCTGCGAGGCTTAAATTTACACATTTGTTCATATTTCTTCAGAATTGGGGTACGGTGGCGAATATCTGTCACAATACATACCTTTGGAGAGGTCAGTTGCCAGTTATTGTTCTAAATTAAGCGGTATTCATACCAATTTCCTCTACTAAAACAAGTACATTATCCATTAAAAATAAATACATCAGTAATATTGTAACTAACAATTGAGAGTAAAATTAAACTTTTGAAACGAAAGTATTTTTAATTTCGTAATCGCTTATATTTAGGAGAGCAACGATAATATTTACCTCCGACACTCACGTTAGGCACAAATATTTTTGTCCGTGAAAAAGCTGCCCGCCCGTAAGAGTGACATAACAAATCTAAAAGGGTTTACTGGAGGAGATAGACTACATAGAGACTTGTTAATTTATAACACATTATTGCTTTATTCAAGAAATAACTTAACACAATAACAGAAAACGAATACGTTCAAATTATTTGCCGTTCAAGCATATTTCTGC